GTTGCTTGCACCTAGTATATATATGCACACATAAATATCTATCAAAATTAATGCTCTTATTCTTTTTGATAATACATCTCGTTTTTTTTTTTGTCACTTTGTTTTATGAAATGAAAACAAGGCCGTCGACACATTTGTTGTTTATGCTACACATTTTCTAATTATATTGGACTCGATTGATTGTATTCTTTGTTTTGTTCCCCATGAGGCGCTGTAGAGATTACGAAATACACGTTGATTTGAGCCATTCAAGCACAGAAGATCGTATATGTTCATCTTAGTGCACACGCTTTCTATTCCTAAGCAAGCAACGCATTTGAATTTGTTAACAAGGAGATCGATGAGTTACTGAATTTTGTTAATTTTGACGCTTTCCTACGATAAATGATTTTGATTGAGATGAAGACTCTAACAAGTCCATCACAACATGAATGACATCCCGATTGGAACAAAGACACGAGATATAAGTTTTGCTTTATCTTTCAGCTTTCTTGTATATCCTATCTTAAGAGTGAGTAACTTGCTTTAGTATAAAATAAAATTTAATTAAGTTGGGTTGAACAAATGGCTTTTATTTTCTTTTTTGGTTTTTATTGGAACTTCGAATTAAAAAAAAAAAAAACTATGGCACATGCTGTACTAACAAAATGAAGTACCAATTTAATATTTTCCACAAACTTTAATGACCATTTTCGATCACCTCCATTTCCTTCTGAAGTTTCCATTTACGTACCAAAATATAATTCTATTGGTACAAATATGTGGTGCGAAGGAATAATTCTCTTTAGATTTTTTTGCATGTTGCAATTCATTCGACAAACTCATTAACGAATGGAAATAGAATATTCCCTTTTGTGAAGAGGAGATGAGAAAGAATCTCTCTCTTGAGATTTTTTGTTTTCCAAATAAGGAGATCCCAGGTTGAATCGGCTGCTTAATTGATTTTTCACCAGCATCTCTATACTCGGTTTTTATACTATATAACCAGATCGATTTTCGATACATGTGATGGAGAAAATGTCATTTTGTTTTTCAGTAGAACGTCTATTTACTAATACAAAATAATAATTTTACTTTTTGTCTCTCAAACTCTATGCATTTCCACCCTCGCGTTATTGCTACATCCCAATCTTTTGGTGCTATGTTGCATAACTTCAAGGTAAACACTCATCCTCGTGTAAATTTTCTAGAGTCTCCATCTGACTAAAAATATGAGCCTGTGTTGTTGGAAATATGTGGTGTAGATTTGTATGCTATTTAGCCTCCGTTTGGAAAGAATTTATAAACATCTTAATTCATAACAGACGGAAATGTCTGGTGAATAAGTGAATAATACTTGTGAATTCATTGAAATGTGTGGATGAAAATGACATTTGATATTTTATAAATGATTTATAAACAATTTATAAGTTTTCCAAAACGAAAGCTTGAAATGGACATAATTTGGACTTAAATAAATACAGAAGAATGAGATGCAGAAAATTTAAAGAACAGTCGTACTAAGCATTGGACTCTTTCTCCTTAAAATGATAATATCCCTATATAGGTACTAATGGACTACAACAATCGTCTCTCGACCGTGTCTCGTGATAAGAGTATTCCAAATTACGAAGACCAGTAAATCTATTGATTTTTTGAACTCCCTTTAAATTGAAAAAAAAGACTCAAAATGAACACATTTGGCCTTTAAACTCTCGTATTTGACTATCTGATCGTGCTTAAGTAATTGGTCAAAGTTGATTAGAATCAACATTTTTAAATCAATTTCGAACAAGTGTAACTGACATGAGTCGGATGAGAGGCCAAAAGTACGTGCGAGCACGCGCGTGCGCGCACACATATATTTTTTCGAAGAGACTTGAAAAATATACTTAGTGCTTGTTTGGTAGGAATTTTTGGAGGAAGAATTGATTTTTGAATAGTAATATGATGGGAAATGTGTGGTTGAAAAAGAAGAAAAAAGTATTGATGTGATGGAAAATATTATTTTATTGAAAAATGTGTGGTTGAAAATGAGAATTGATTTACTGTAGAAAATGAGAAGTT